AATCGGTGATGATGTTAAATATCTTGTTAATACATTTAACTGCCATTTTATTTTACTACAATTTTTCAGATGGAGCTGTGGGCTGAGTCAAGGTCTCAACCAGGTCTGTTCACAGGCACAACCGGTGTACGTGTTCTCACTCCATCTGAGTTGTCAGCTGGTCAACAAGCATGGGTTAAAAAGGTGAGTAAATGACGTCTTCTTATCAGTTGTTTGATAACAGTTGTATTTCTCTCACAAGTTACTATTCTTTGTTCAAAGGATTCGCCATTGGCTGTGGGTTTTCTCATTTGTTTCTAAAATGTGTTGAATGCAGGATATCTTATCACCCACTTCTTGAGAAGTTTGTCAAGAATAGGAGTGTCTTGTTCATAACACATGTTTTTCTCTTTCATAATCCGGAAATCTCTTTCTATTTTTACTGATAATTTTTGCATAGTAGTGTATATGTGAGAAAAACCACAAGTTGGAAGCACAGTTTTTTTTATCAAAATAACCAGTTATTGGTAATAGTTCAGAGAAGGCTAGGGGGATTAATTAAAAATTATTTCCAAATTGCAGCATGTTGGGTGGCATTGATAATTTGGGGATGTGTTAGTGAATTTCTTTGTGGGAGAAACTCTATTTGAATTTAGAGTGGTTTACCTGTTACTAAATTAAACTTGGTTTTCTTTAATCTTGAAGAATTATTTTCAAAAATTAAAGTAAAGAGTTGTATTGACATAAGGAAATGTCTGTAAGACTAATTTTATTTAATAATATGGATGAACTTCACAATCCTTGTAGTATACATTATAATTCATTACTGTAAATTTAATTTTCTGTCAATTTATATTTGCAAAGACCTAACATTAGATCTGGTTGTCTTGTAAACAAAAATTTCATTTATCATCATTGGGAAAGTATCAGTGTAGGCTGGAGATAAATGTATATGATGAATTGAAATGACATATTGAATGTGATATTGATGAAAGTATCATACACTGTTTCTTAAAATAAATGTAAATGCAAAAATTAACTTGCGAGTGACGTAAATCAATTATCTTGTGTTACATTAAAGTGGGAATTTAAAAATTAGGCTTTCAATTTATTCTCTATTTTGTGCTTTGATATTCTTGTTGTGAAAGATTTTTTTGATTCTCATACATACACTGCAAAATGCAAGAATTTATTTTTTACTTTATTAACCAATAATCTTAGCTTCCAATTATTCATAACAGCTAATTGAAACTCTTATGTATTCATGAGAATTTTCAGACTCACCTCATTATAATGATTCAGCATTTGTTATCTTATGGTCAAAATAAGTAATTGGATTAAAAAATTCTTCATTTTTCTAAATTTTGTTCTTGCATATTACTTACTACATGTTGCTTATTTGTGACTTGAGATAATGAGTTGCTGATTGCAAAGCGATCATTTTTATTTCTTGTCTGTAACAAATTTTCAGGTGTGAACTGCCTATAGTTTGCTGCAGGCTCAGACCATCCCTTAAGCTAGGGGTGGATTCTGTGTCTGTGTGAGGAAAGCGTCTACAACCAGCTCGGAAGGTTGGCTTTCCTCGGTAGCTTCACATGGCCCCACATGCAAGTGTAAATGCGAATTAACAGTTTGCATTCTTTAATTTTCTTGCATTTCTATAAATTTGTCTTTTAATTTCATTTGAGTGTGTGAAGCATGTCTTTGATGACATTGAAAATATGAAGTCTTAATGTAAAGGTTGAAAATTAAGTGATTGCAAATTATGTGAAAGAAGTTTTACTTTTTAAATAAAATGCATGAAAATTTCAGATGCAGATTGTAAGCTAGATGCAAACTTGCGATACTTACATGGATCTCAATATGTGACTAAAAAGTGTGTCATTATCCTTAAAAACGAAACAAAAAAAATATAGGAAAGAAATTATTCCTTTTGCTTCACGAATTAAATCCATGTAAGTAAGGACAATATTAGCTAGAGACTTGAGGGCACAGGTGCGTAGCGTGAGTAGAAAATGGCCAAGTGAAGCTACCAAGCACCTGAGAATTTGTTTCAGGCATCTAGTGAAACCACAGTGATTCTGAAGGGGCAAGGGCAGCTCGACGGCAACAAACTTCCTTAGTGAGTGTATGAGGCCTGTGGTGAGTAGAAATTTAGGTAATGAACGAATAACCATGGCAATGCAGAGAGGCTGGAAGGAAATATTGCTCTGTGGGACTAGAAGGAAAACTTTCTGGAGCTGTTTCCATTTTCTGTAGGAAGACACAATGTTTAATTTCTAAAGGGCAGTCATGATATTTATGACTATTCAGTACCCTGTTACTGTGAAGTAATTCCAGGTTCTTTGCAATCATCATTAAGAAGCATATACTGCAGTGTTTGCATGTATACCACTTTATTCGCTGATCATTTCATTTCCATCATTACTTCTAATAAAGTGGTTTGTGGAAATTGACAGTGCTGTTTGAGATTCCAGGGGTTAATGCATTATATTATGATAATTGATGCAAAATATTCCTAGAGGGCAGGGAAATTAATATATTGTATCTACTCACATTACCACCTGACAAGAGTTGCCACTGACTCACTTTGTTGTAATTTTACGATTGTTTTATCCAAGTTTCTTTTTGTCAGATTTTCCATTTGTTTGTAAAATTGTATTTTGATCACATACTTGCGCTCCAATACATATACGTGAGATACTTTGTGGTTTCTTTGTGATATAAGTTTTTGTATTACTGTTATAAGTATTAGATTCATAAAAAATTAGATGTTTTAATTTTTATTTTCATCCCTCCAGTTCCTTGAATAACTTGGAATGCCAATTTTGTGCAACAACAATCTTTTACCAGTGAGATATTTGTTTGCGACTAGGTTGATGGAAAGGTATGTAAAGCAGACAAATATTTTTGAATGCAGAATTTTTCCTTTTGTATTTGAAATTGTGAGGATTTTATGAGTTGAAAAATCAGGTAGGTCCTTGGAGAAAAGTGTGAACATAAGGTTTGCTGGCTGCATTTGTCATCTACAGCTTTCCCAAGTCACTACTCATAATTTTGTCTTTGTACTGAGCAATGTTGTCAATAAACAATGTCATTATAATTTGTTTGAAATTAACATATGTTTCTATTTGAAATTTCTCTCATTTTGTAGTTTATTATTTATGCATTCAATTTCATCACCCATAATCTGAGATCCTTTTTATTGTTCTACCCCTGTGATGTGAGTAAATACAATATTCCTTTGAAATGGTGAGAACTGGTGAAACTGTTTACGAAATCTAATATCTTGATATTTTCAGTAATTTACCCTTTATGTTGTAGTTTTGTTATATTTTTATTATTATAAATAACACAATTATTTCTGTTTATAAATGAGGTAAATTACTGGAATGATAAAATTCCGAGTGAACTGCTAGTTCACCATTGTATTGAAACAGGTATAAGTAAATAATTGGATATTGTTGCATTTGTGCTTAGGATCAATTGAAAGAGGCCACCCCTGTAACTGGTGGTATGGGAATGACCCTTCTTCAGAAAATGGGCTGGCGGCCTGGAGAGGGCCTGGGGAAAAATAAAGAGGGCACTCTTGAACCCTTGCAATTAGAAATCAAGATGGATAAAAAAGGTAGGTTCTCATGAAAAATAATATTTGTTTTAATTCAATTTAATTTGTTTTTTATCTTCCTTACATCGTACTTGTATTAACATCCTAAGTTATTTTCATTCACCAAAATATGTGCACAGTAGAGGGTTGGGTAATGCAATGCCTTGCCTTATTAAGGGAGACAATGTGTTGAAGCAAAAAAAAAACTATACAAACATAGTTTGTGAACCACTTCTTTAATCTGTCTATGCCATGTTTTATTATGCCATTGCATTGCTGCCTCACCTCCCTTATGGCAGCTTATGGCAGTTCAAATTCAATGTTACAGTGTGGCAATACAGACAATGTGTTATCAGTAGTAAGAGAGATGATTGCCTACTTCATAAATATAAATTAACACAGAAATTATTTTGAAATTCAAAGGTTTTGCGGATTTAAAAAAAAGACGCTTTATCATGAAGTCATTTCTGCTTGCCTCAATGACAGTTTTATACAAGATTGAAATATTAATCTTAGTTTTCAAAATGAACTTGATGTGGTGCAGGACTTTAAAACAAAGCCCTTCAATTCAGCATGACTGCAAAATTCTGTATAAGAAAAAATTAAGACACAATACCTTACGAAAATTTAGGTTTTGCCTCTTGCATATTTGAGGAAATTCCTGATGCAAGAATAATGCATTGATTCAATAATTTGAGTTCACTTTTCCCATCTTACTGCCAGGAAATCTCTTCCTTCAGTGTTGTTGAATGAAAACCATTTTTATTTGTTGTTTATTTTCAGGTTTGGTTTCCCAGGAGGAACTTGTTGATAAACTTCCTCCAGCACCATTTTCACCATACAACACCCCTGGAGGGCTCAAAAGTTTCCATGGTTTGTGTTGAAACCTATTTTATTTCATAGCACTCCTGTATTAGGGTTTGGTTTTATGAAGTATTGACTGTAAATTTATGACTTCTTGCAGGAAAGCATCCTGTCTCCTTACTTGTGGATATTTGTTCAAGAGAACGATGGGGTATTCCACAATTTGATTGCTGTTTTGAATGTGGTCCAGATCACAAAAAGAACTTCCTCTTCAAGGTATTGTTTTTCCTATGAAAGTTAATAAAGTTCCCTTTTTTAGTTTATCATACAAAGGGATAAAAGGAACATGGTGCGACATGTCTTATTTTCTATATAAACGTCTGGCTACTTTCTACACACACGCACGCACGCACACTGTAGTTCTATGAACATGTTTGTTCAGCATATCTATATTTGTTTTCTGGAGACATTCTGATTCCTTTGGTTTATGTTTATGAAACAAGGGTTAGCACTATCTTGTCCTGACCCCTTCATATATTGATTATAGTATATAATTAAGGTAATTGTCCATAAACAAAATTATTGTTAGACGTCATTATCATTGTTGTAGGTCAGAGTGAATGGAGTAGAATACAAACCAGGAATGACAAGTCCTAACAAGAAGCAGGCGAAAGCAGAGGCAGCTCTCGTGTGTTTGCAACAGTTGGGAATTCTCCCATTTTAAGACCTACTTTTTGCTGAGACATTGCCTTATGTATTGTGAGAAGCATTGGTGCCCAACTCATGTACGATGGTAACCCTTGTTATGTTATGCCATTGTACAATATTTTGTCAGAGACTTGCAAGCAATGCAGTGTTTTGAGTGTACTATAATCTCCATTCTGCATTTTAAATCTATTGAACACCATTTATTGAATCTGTAAGTATTTGTGTATCTACATCTCATAATAAATTCTCTTAGTAATGAAGATGATTTATGATTGGTTTTTTAAACAAGCAATGGACCAACTAGGAAATTGATGTTTAGTAATGAGAGGGAGGTATGTCTTGCTTTTTGAAAATTAAATACTTACGTTCATTATATATAATGAAATGATATAAGAAAAATATTGTAAAGTTTGTCTAATAAACTTATTTGAATTTTATGTAATTTATATATTGGTGAACACTTCACATGACAATTATTTCAATATTAGCAGTCTGGTAAAATTGAGTGTATCAAATCAGATTTTGATTTGAAATTGAATTGTACCTTGAGAGTGTAAGCCTGTGATATTTCTTGTGAAGCATTTGAACTTTGTAAATATTTATATTCCATATTGCATAAATAGTTTCACAGAGTTTTCATTCAGTTGAATAGATGTTATTAGAGAGAAAATATTGGATACACCACTTCCAGTGATGTGGTAGTTGTGATGGTGATGGTTGATGATGTTCTCATAATGAGAATAGAAGACATTTGTGTGGTCTTTTTGAAACAAAATTTACTGTCTTGACAATGTTACATAATTTAATGTTTCAAATTGTAATATAAATGCAATCATGTAATATCAACTGTATTTCATGCATTAATGTTTTTAAAATAGTGTGTGACCATTTTTTCTGTTTAATAATACTCTGATGATCAATTTTATTCATCCAGTTTGCTTTTTCTTATGAAAAGAATTTCACAGTAAGTTTGTTTATCTTACTGTGAAAATCTTCCAAGAGCATGTGACTGCATTCTTTTCCTACTTCGTTTGCCTTTTAGTTTTTTATATCTCTTGAATCATTAAAAAGTACAAGTTAATTTCCATCTTTGTAACGTTTGTTTGTGTGCATGGATATTAAGATGGTTGATTTGGCCTATGTTAACAAATAGTGACATTTAGAAGAATTTTAGAAAAAATAACTTATAATGGTCAATGAGTCAAATACATTATTTGTGTGTGTGTGTGTATATACACACACACACATATATACATACGCATTCACACACATACTTACATACTCGAGTATTAACGACTCTGATATATCCATTTATTAGTAATGTTATATAAAATTATTTGCTTGCAACATGGGAGTATGTTGAAGTGTGTGTAAGATTTTAACTGAACTAGTCCATTACCAATTGTTGTGTTGATGCGTTTAGCTTGTGGTAAATATTGCTTTTCTTTTCTCAGATAAGTATATAATCGAGTGTCTTACTTTCTATAAAATGTTGGGCACCTCTGCATATAATTATTATTTTGTGTGTTACACATGTGATCATTATAAAAATGACATAGAGGTACATTTTTGTTTGGAGATGCAATTTGTGTTTTTATTCAGTACATGCATGTGACTTTTGAGAAAATCACAATGAAATGACACTCTATATATTTCTGTTTGACAGCAATTTTTACAGTGTATATGTGTGAAACTTAGTCCTGTTTTTACTGGGTGAAAACCTAATTTATATGTGAAAATCTGTATGTATAGTTAATTGCTATAAGTTAGCTGTGGTACTTGTTTTTGATCATGGTACAATATACCAATATACTCATTAAAACATTAATTTCTTTTCTTCTATGTTTTATTTATTTGTACCTTGTTAAATGATGAAAGTATTTTCTTGATATGCAGAGTACTCATTTTTAAACTTATAGTTGTATCATATCAATTACTGCACTGTTTTTTTTTTTTTTTTGTTTTTTTTTTTTTAATCAAAATGCTATTATTAAAAACAATACTGGTATGTTGAAATTGAAGTATATTTTTGTTATGGGTTTTTGTTATTATTTAATGTTTATATTTTGATTTTGTGTGATAAACTTAATGTTCTACTGAATATTGCTGTTTTTCGGTCATTACATATATTATGTACATACACTTATTTGTCACTCAAAACCATGCTAAATTCTGTGATTTGTTTACTTGAGCAAGATAACGCAGTGGCATATTTTAGTGTTGTTTCAACATTTAAAAAAATAAAGATTCTTAAAGAAAATCTATCCATCTTGTAAATCTGTTCTGAAAACAGTATGAGTTAGTTGTCTGAATAGTATTTTAATGTAATTTTCTAAAAAATGTTACCAACCTTATACAAGACGTATCCAAGAAATAGCAATTGAGGAACTTGCGTCTATCCATCTGTTCATTACTTTCAGTTCTTCTGGACCATTCGAGGCAAATGAATTGTCTTACAACAAATCTTGGCCTGTTGGGAAGGGTTCTTACCATTATTTCCAGATCCTCTGAAGAGGATTCTCCAAAATACTCGTACTTGGAGTTTTTAAGCAACTAAAACCTATCATTGAAAGTTTTATGGCATGTACAGAGAGATTAATAGCTTATTGGGTTCCTGTAAACAAGACGAATGTATTGGCAGGGTTTTTAGCTGAATTCTTTAGAATATTCTGGAAAAATTCTAGAAGAAACTAGTTTTGAGTGGTATGATGGCACTTATCAAGAGGTAAAACACTGAATTACTGAACAGTCTTTCCAACATTACGTAAGATTTGATTCATCAGAGAGATGATATTTAGACCTAATTTGGTTAAAAACAAAATGTTTAAACTATTTTATCGAATCTCTTTCATCTATGGACAAGTTGTGTACAAAATTTATTCTAATATGAACTCACATTGCAACAATAATAACATTTAGCATGACAACACCCACCAGAGCCACCGCTCTTAGGCTCATAATCATGAACTGACCAGAAATGAGGCTCTGTATCCTTTTTCTATTGTTTTATTACAGTATTCTTGGTGGATTTTTAGTCTTTCAAGTCAAGTGTTGCTGCAGTTGCCACCTCTTTAGTGGGCTCCCTCTTATCTCTAATACCTGTTGGTTTGTTCTTCCAAATTAATTTTGGATATCTTGTTTATTCTCACTTTGAGACTTTTATCTTTATCTTTGAAATGATCTTTCCATCTGCTTTGAGACTTTTATCTCTTCTACTAAACATTTGGTTTTCAATTTCTTAGTCTTTTCTCTTCTTGTGATTCCCATGAGGTGTCTTAGAAATCTCATGTGTGATGCCTGTAATTTTTGTTTGTCTCTCTCTTTCATTACCTAGCCATACATGATTCTATATTTAGCAGCTACATTGTGGAGTTTGTTTTGTTTCTGGGCCCATGTCTCTGCCAAAGTGTCTCTTGATTGTTACACATATTCTATTGTAGTTATTAAGTTTGGTTGTATACACTTATGATATTCCAAGGTATGAAAATGTATTCACTTGTTCCACTAATTTTCCATTTATGACTATTTTGGCTCTCCTGTGTTCCTAGCCTTGTATTGCCATAACTTTTGTTTTCTGAATTGCTATCTTCATGGAATATTCTTGGGCTACTTTTGTCAATTCAAACATTGCTCTTTGTAAATTATCTTCAGGATCTATTACGATAGTTCGGTCATCAGCATACAAGATTGTATCTATCTTCTTGACTTTTGTGATTTGTATTCCTGGCCTAACTTTCTTTCTCCAGGTTCTCACTAATTGCTTGATATATATGTAGAAGAGGATGGGTGATTGCTGCCAACTTTTTTCCCTCTCTTAGCAGTATTTTAATTTTTGAGTTCGTGTAGAGACTTTGCATTGAGTAACTGTTCAGCAACTTTCTGCTCTTCTAGTATTTCCCAGAGTTTCTGTCAATTAACTTTATCATAAGCCTTTTCATAATCAATAAATATCATAAAAGTTGGTAGAGATCTTTTGTCTGTTAAACCTATAATGTAAAGATTGTCACTTTAGTACTTCTACTCTTGGAATCCACACTGCTTTTCTCCCACAAAATTCTCACATAATTCATCGAGTCTGTTCCTTAGCATGTTTGCATATAGCTCAGAAGCTGTTGATAGCAATGTAATTCCCCCTATAATTGTCACATATCTTCTTTGAGTCTTTCTTGTAAATGTTAACTAAACCCTCTTGCCACTGTATTGGGGTAGTTCTCTCTTGCCACACTTGTTAAAAAGTTCTAAGAACATTTATTTCAGCTCATTTCCTCCATATCTTATGAGTTCTACGTTGACCTCATCTGGTCAGGCTTTTCCTATTTTTTACTTACTACTGTCTTGAGTTCTATATTCAGTGAGCTGTCTAGTTCATCACTGTCAGAGATTTGGCTTGTTCCTTCAAGCACTTCATTGGATCTGAGAATTGGATTGTTCCACAGGGTGGAGTAGTGTTTTATCCTATTTTCTTCTGGCCATCTAATCTGATTTTATCTTTCACATTCTTGTGCAACAATTTCAAAACTTTGAAACCCATTTGTTGAGAGCTTGATACATCTTTTTCTTAATTTTACTAAATTTTCTCCAGTTCTCTCTCCTGTGTACTTAGCTGGCACATCTCACTTTGGCCCATAATCTTTTATATTCCATGCAGTATTCAGTTCGTTTTTGGAGGTAGGTTCTGTATGCTTTCTTCTTTTGATTAATCATCTCTTTTAGGTCGTTATCCCACCTTCTCAACTATTTCGTTTTCTTGAATGGTTTATAGTGTACACTCTTTTCCTTCTTCAATCATAGTTTGTTTAAGTGAACTCCAAAATGTCTCGATATTTTCTTTATCTATCTTCTCTAGTTTTTCTCGCAGTCTTTTTTCATATAAGGTTCTGATACTTTCATCTTCTAGAAAGAATACCTTGAGTTTTGGAGGTGTTTTATAACTATTTTCTTTAGTTTTTGTTTGTTGTAATGCGAGTTTAATTTCACTCTCTACCAAATAGAGGTCTATGTCTATTTCAAAACCTCGAAACACTTTTGTGTTCTTGACTTATTCAAATAAGTTTCTAATTACTATTACATAGGCTACGATGGCTCTTGTACCTCTTGCTTCCCAAATAAACTTGTGGGTTTCTTTGTGTTTGTAAAAACTATATGTTAACAACTTGTTGAACAGGCAAAAGTTAAGAAGCATTTTCATTTGTTTTTCCCCTTCTTGGCCTTTGCATTGAGGTATTTCATTATTACCAATTCTGTCATTAAAGTCTCCAGATGTAATGAGGAGCTCATCTTTTCTTGCTTGGTCTAGCAGTTGTAGATCTTTGTAGAAATAGTCAGATTCTTCTGTCCATCCTTCAGCTGGAGCATATACTCCTATTATGTTTAGTGTGTTTATGTTCAATGTCAAGTTTCATCGTTATTAGTTTTGGGGATATCCAGTTATATTCATCTATGAAATTATTCCATTTCTTATTTACTATTAAAGCTATGCCTGCTGTGGCATGTTCTTCTTCTACTCCTGAATAAATAATATAATCTTTTAGCTGTTTAGGCTCTTATTTTTCTTTTTCGTTTCAGTAACGACAGTCTTGTCTAGCTCACGTTCCATGTTCCCACTTTTAGCAGAGTGTTAGTTCTTTCTTAGTGTTTTGTTATGGAACATTTTTTTGATGTTGTTATTGTTGAAATTTGCTGTCTTGATTTCTCTGGAGTGAAAGCAAAATCAAAAGTGTGAATTATCACTCCTTGGGGCCCAAAGTCTGGATCTTCAAGTGTTTCTAGCTCTTTAAAATCCACTCCTAACGTAAAGGATTTATTAGTATTGTATCTTGTTTGCAACTGTAAACACAAGATTGTGCCAGTTATTCCATTTTCCTGTAGATACTTGTAATGTCATCCTCTTTGTTGTTGGTGCTGACTGCTGACTGCTGCTGACTCTTCCAATAAATAGCCAGCTAGTTTTCAGACCTAGGAATGTGCCTTAGGCTCGTTTTGATTTCACTACTGTATTGTTTGACTTGTAGCTATCTGCTGTTTCTCTGGTATCTCAGATTACCCGGCATTTCTTCTACCCGTTTATTGCTTTCTGATTTTCATTTTCACTTGTTCTTCCATCAGGCTTATATCATTTCTATTCTCTTTCAGACATCGGGAGCTATTTAGGGGATGTTCCGGTTCCTTCTCTGGTTTGTCAAATGTATTTGGTTCTACTTCTTTCCATGCCTCACCCTCAGTTTTCTTACTAGTTGCCCATTCTGTTGGGTGATTACAGTCTCTATTTGAGCTGTACTTCATTCTTCCTTTGTTTATTGGTTCTGGGTTTTCTGTTTGATTCATGTTATTTCTATGTCTCCTTTATTTCTTGTGTTAATCAGTGCATTATTTCTGATGGTAGTTTTGTAAGTAACATGTGTATACCGCTCCCCCTTTTTTTTTTTTAGCTCAGCCATTTACATATTATTACCCTGGGTTTCATTAATAATGTCCCCATTATCTTTCAGGATATAGTGACATTCTTGACACAGCCAAGTTAGTCTGGCCTATTGTTTGTAAATGTTGTATTGGTATATTGTTTTTGTAAATGTTTTGCATCTCTTTCTGATAATCCCACACAATGTGCGTGGAATGCCCTTCAGCAATTTCCTCCATATAATTTTATACATTAACTTTACAAGAGTCGCATTGTACCGTCTTCTTTTGAACGGTGTGCGGATCTTGGTCGGATGCAACAATGCCATCTTACCCATTTCCAGTCTTGGTATTTGTCTAGTAGTTAGCACTCAAATGTTTATTTCACCATCGAGTTTTCCAATTTTAGTTCTTATATTTCCTTTGGTTCTTATCTCTTTAATTTGTTGGTACCTGTTGCTTCCTTGTACAATTCATCTTGCCTTCACAATCTCTCTTCTTATTTCAGTGACGTTTCTTCCGGCTACGATCGTGCGTCTTAGCAATCCGCTATCTTAACCGGAAGCTCGCACTCTTAGGCTAATTACTAATATTTGGTATTGAAATGGAAACAAGATCATATAATTAAAAGAAGACCATCCTTGTTTGTACACTCTGGTATATGTACAGATAGATTTATAGTATAGAGAAACTTATTTAATGCATTGGAAAGTAAATTTCAAGATTTTAATGGAAATACGCTTCTTGGGGGTCCGCAGGTACCAAAATAATATATTTTTCAAAACTTAATCTGTGAACAACACAAGCACCTAAACTGTTCATTAGATTTTTGCCGAAATGACTGGTCGACCTGACCTGACTAAA